AAAAGTAATGAGACGAAAGGCTATCATTTACCCTGTAATTCTAAAAATCTAGTTCTGATACTGAGAAACACAATTTTCAAGGGAATGAGTAGAATCCATCCCAAACATAGTCAGATTTTCCTCTTACTGAAACAGATGCTCTTTTCTCAATATCATAACGTATAAATCCTAAATATTTTTTTTAAACAAATTCCATACACACACACACACACACACACACACACACACACACACACACACACTGTGCTTTTAAGCTTGTTTCAACATTCAGTTTTCCTTCAAACCATGTAAAGACATGTCCACTGTCAATTCCAGAAAAACAAGAAAGGAGAATAATAAAATGTTACATCTGACAATGACACTGATTTAAAAAAAAAAATCATGTTTCCCCTTCTTGAGAGGCTACTATAACAAATCTATTTTCTAAGAAAGTCTTAAAATTCACTTACCCATTTACTGAGTAAAGTTGGAGATTATACTGAACTGCCACTTATGAGAAAGAATCACATTAATCTTCCACTAAATCTTCCTTTCTAGCTCCTCATAAGACAGTGAAGTATTGAAAGGGGCAATTCCTCACATGGGCAAATATGAGAGAAACCTTAGTAGAATCCTTCTGCTGCCAGTGTATGGTAGCTTATTTATTTCCCTCAGTAAGAATAGTAATAAAAAGTATACACAGAGTCCACTTTGCTATTTGTGAACAATCATGTGTACTCCTTTCCAAAAGATATTCATCCAAAATACAGTTTCCAATTCCAAAAGCAACTTGAGTCTGAAAATACTGCAAAAAATTGAAGTGCTTTGAAAATGACAGTGAGGAATTACAAGCAAACAACTCATTATTCAATCAAGAATTTGGCACAATTATAAACCATGTACCATCTATTTTAATGGATCTTAATTTGCCTGCTATCAGCAGAAATTTCAAATCCCAAATTGAACAATGACTAGTGCCAATATCTGATAATTTTCTCACTTTTTCTTCCTGAGAATACTGTTACAAAGGAAAGCAGCAAATAGTATCTTGCTCTTGACATATGAGATTTGCACACTCTGTAAATTGATATGCAAATATCCCTAAACCATTATACAATCCTTTATCCATTTCCAGGTAAACATTTAATGCTTTTCTACTACATATCATAAGAGAAGTAAAATACTTAATTTCCCCAAATAATGTAATATCTCCAAATTGAAGTAATGTTTCTTAGCATCTTTATAATGCATAAGAGTAATATTCGAGAATAAAATATTGTCTCTCCGGACTTTTGAATCAGTTCTAAGACCACAGCATTTGTCTCTAGAGATTATCTACTACTAACTACATGAAACCAAACTGTCAAAACTATCAGAAAAGTGTTTTCTTTTTGACTTGCTTTTTAATCACAGGGTGGTACTTTCTATTAATCATTACCTTTATTTTTTATTTAATTTTTTTTAGTTTTATTGATTTTATTTTTTAAATACACGACAGTGGAATGCATTACAATTCTTATTACACATATGCAGTAAAATTTTTCATCTTTGTATATAGAGTATGTTCACGCCAATTCATGCCTTTATATATGTACTTTGTTTTTTGCATTACAATTCTTACTACACATATATACCACAATTTTTCATATCTCTGTTTATATACAAATTATGTTGACATCCAATTCAAGTCTTTATACATGTACTCTGGATAATGATGTCCATCACATTCCACTGCCCTTGCTATCCCTTGCCCCCTCCTTTTCCCTCCCACCCCTCTTCCCTATCTAGAATTAGATAAATTCAATCATTACTTATTTAATCCAAGATATAAATGCAGCATAATTTTATATAGTGAATTCTAAGAATTTTTGAGTATCCTAAGAACTTTTTTAAATAAATAAAAATACAAATTTTACAGATTTACACAAGAAAAAGAAAAAAATCTATCACCCACTATTCAATGACACAGGTAACTCCTCTTTTATCACTTTCTATCAGGAGCGTCACAAATTGTAACAAATACAGCACCAGACTGCACCGACCATACCATGTATGTTTAAATTTAACATTTCCATTCTAATGAAATCACAAACTTAAGATTTTGATTCATCTGTACATCACTTCTTGTGATGAAATGTAACATAGATTTACATATATTTATAATGTGCAAAAGTTGATGGGACACTCGGGAAAGCATAAAATGTGTACACATCTACTCCAAAGATCACATAGTATTTTTTAATGAGTCAACTGAATCTGTGTTCTTATAGTGCATATATCATGAAGGGACAGTGTTGAGTAAACATGATCTCACTGAGGTCTTTTGTTTAAAAACAAAACAAAAACAAATAAGGGCTGGGGATATAGCTCAGATGGTACAGTACATGCCTCTCATGCATAAGGCCCTGGGTTCAGTCCCCAGCACCACAAAAAAAAAAAAAAGAAAAGAAAGAAAAAAAATTCAAACTACTTTTATAACTATAATTTTTAAAATTCTAACTTATCATTCATATTTATTTTGCCATAAAATGGAGGAAATACTAATAATTAGCAGATTATGCTTAGTGAAGCTAGCCAATCCCCAAAAAACAAATACCAAATGTCTTCTTTGATATTATGAGAGCAACTATGAACAGAGCAGGGAGGAAGAGCATGAAGAAAAGATTAACATTAAACAGAGACACGAGATGGGAGGGAAAGGGAGAGAAAAGGAAAATTGCATGGAAATGAACGGAGACCCTCACTGCTATACAAAATTACATATAAGAGATTGTGAGGGGAATGGGAAAATAAACAAGGAGAGAAATGAATTACAGTAGATGGGGTAGAGAGAGAAGATGTGAGGGAAGGGGAGAGGGGATAGTAGGGGATAGGAAAGGTAGCAGAATACAACAATTACTAATAGGGCATTATGTAAAATTGTGGATGTGTAACCGACGTGATTCTGCAATCTGCATTTGGGGTAAAATTGGGAGTTCATAACCTACTTCAATCTAATGTATGAAATATAATATGTCAAGAGCTTTGTAATGTTGTGAACAACCAATAAAAAAAAGAAAGATTTTAAGAAAAAAAAAGAAATATGTTGTTCAAACCTTGAACAAGAGATAATATAAACTGTATCTTTAATGAGCTTTTTGGTGGGAAATTGTCAAGCTAGATAAAACATGCAGGGGAAATAAAAGAATTTAACACATAAGGTAGATTATAATTCAAAGTGAAAATATCTGAATAAAAAATCACTCATTAAGATCTGAAATTAACAAGAATACAGAATTTATTCTGAAAATTCTTTGATTTTGTTTTTAATTGATGAACTTCCCATTCTTCTAAGGTATCAACTCATAAGCAAAACTGTAAAGCTCTGTACACAGTTTCTTTGCTTCTTAATACTTCAGGTAGCTTACATATAAAGTTACCATGTTTTCCTTGGTCTTCAAAAGTGATGGAAATGTTTTACACACATGCATCAGAACAACTTGAACTTCATTTCTTATACATTATTTTAGCACAAGAAATACTATTTACTCCTAAAACTTATTTCCATGCCTCCTTAATATTCCTGCTTTAAATATTACTGCCAATAATCATTTTGGTAAATGTGATGTCAAATTATATACTCTAGCTGCCTAATGATAATATAGTATCATCAAGGTTGTAGTGAATTAGGGCTTTTAGGCAAAAATTTCAACTGTCAATATTTATTTCTGCATTAACACCAAAGTAACCTGTCACAGTCCAAAAATGTTCACCATTATTTCTTTTTAAAATCTTCTCTCCACCCCAAGAGCAGATAGACAATAATCAAGATTAAGGGGCCTATGTTAAGTCTAGCAATCTAACTGTGATAAAGAAGCTTCTCAAAAACAGATGAAATTATTGAAAATGCAAAATTAACAGAATGGTGTCTCAGAAAGCAAAACTGAGCATATGCAATCAAGAGTACTAGAAATAGTATACACACACGTGTGTGTGTTGATAATTTCCTTTAAACACCAATAGTGGTTGTCTTGGGATGGTGGGAAGATGAAACTATTTGCCATTTTCCCTTTCAGTATCTTACAAAGTCCAAGATGAAGACAGACTACTTGTTAGTTATTTTCATTTGTTTATCAGACTCCCTCCACCTGGACACTGAGAAACTTAGATACTGGGTCACACTGAAAAACTCCCTTGCTCACAAGATTCTATTTAAATATGGATAACAGTAAGTATTAAAGAGCTCTAGGAGTTTAAAGAAAAAGGCTAAGTACATACCCTTAACTTCCTTCCTGCTGAGAAATGTTGAGAAAGAATTACAAACTATTCCGGTTCAAACAATGAACAAATGCAGGAATTTCCATACTAATACATAGAAAACAGAAATATGATTTCTAGGCATTATTAGTCTTTTGAAAAACACTTAACAATATATCTCTTTTTAAGGGAGAAGAAAATGGGAATTATTTTAGCTTATAGTTAAACATATTGTTTTATACTATATTATTTTATATTACTTAAACAATAGCTTAAGTAATATTATAAAACAAAGTAAAGCCTAGCAGCATATTCTATTTACTGATGGAAGTCTAATTGTCTACATTTCATTTCTAAATTTCAGGGTCACTGATATTCAGACATTACTCTAATTTCAAAAAATGTCTTAAGATAAATTAAAAATCACTTTAATCACAAAATATCTTACCCAACAACAACTTAAGAAATAGAATATCCAATAAAAGGCAGAGTCATTCAAAGCCACAATCCAAGTACATATCTTACCTTGGCTTAAAATCACACATCCCTTTTTAAACCACGAAATAGGTGTGATAACAATATAATTACTGAAAGTAATAGTAACTGCACTTAAAGGGGTGATTTTATAGCACTATCCTTTCATAGAGAACTGGGTAAAAATCACAAATATAATACAACTGAATATGAAGATTACTTAAAACATTTCAACAATTACGCAGCAGAATTTTAAAAGTATAAATATATTTTCTTATTATTTTTGTTTTTGTTTTTGTTTTTGTTTTTACCTGTTTTGCAATTTCTCTTAAACAGGCTACTCCTTGTTCAAAATTAGGGAAAGCTACCGAGCCATACTTTTGGTATTCAGGGGTTGGTCTGATTTTTATTGTAGCTTCTGTTATTACACCAAGAGTTCCTGAAAAAGAAGGGGGAATAATCCAATATATCACATGACAATTTTCTAAATCATGTTTAAATCTATTTAATCTATTTATTCTTTTAATTTATTCTATTATCCATATTTAAATCTATTTAATTTATTCTCTTTGGGGAACAAAAGCTAACCAAGTCTTTTTAGATAAACAATTAAGCAAATTTTATAATTTCAAGAAAAGTTTTTAGAATAGACTTTTTTATTTACATACAAATATTTTAAAGTAACCTCTAAGAGGGTTACTTTTAAGTGGATTTTAAAAATATTACAACTTACTAAAAGAAAAAATTTTGGAAAAAATACAGGTTTTTATATTTCATCTGTTTTAACACAAAAGTATATTTGATATGTGTGCCTGTTTTTACTATGAAAATAATTTATTGGGGCAAAAGAACCTAACTTCCTTGAAAACTAAAGATGACAGAAGAAATTTAAGGAAATATTACCTAGCCATTTTTCCTAAGAACTGATTCAAAGGAAAGATAGAGGCATTACTGTGATGCCCTTATAAGAAATCAAAAGACATATCAGAGACAAAAGTTTATAAATATCTAGCATAGGAGGACCACTAATGAAACAAATGTTTTTCTTTATCATAGGAGACATAAGGGATTAATCAGAGATGAAAAAAATGTTAAATATAACCCTGACCTAAATATTTCTAACAAAATATTTGAAGAAACATGGTTAAAAAGGAATATATTTACAAAGCCAACCTTTCCAAGTCAGTGGTTTCTAATGTACAATGGTAGAAATAAATTACACTACTAGTAAAATTTCTGAGAATCATTTTAAAAGACTGTTTTAAAAGTGTAAAGTGGGAAATCATTAAAAATAGAGAACTTAATTACAACATCAGAATAAAAGTTATCACAAAATCAAAACTACCAATAAATTTTATGATTTGCCTAGAACTTGTCAATATATAATACAAGATGAAAACCAGTATGAGTTAATCAAAAGTAAATTATATTGTATAGATTACAATATATTCACCACAAATACACTTGATTTTTAAACTGAAATTATAAAATATGAACCTCTTATAATCTATATGATCACAAAAGCTCTACAAGTTGGCCTGATTGATATTTGAATGTAAAACAGATGTCTCATAAAATTCAAAATAAAACCTAAATAAAAAACTTTCTTTTTGTTTTAGCATCTTTATTAAGATATAATGTAGATAATGAAATTCACCTGTTTAAAGTGCAAACTTCAATGGTTTGTAGTATATTCACAGATATGTATAACTATCACTATAATCTAAGTTTAGACTACTTTCATCATCCCCCAAAATAAACCTGTACTTATTAAACAGTCACACCCCATTTCTGCACCCACACCCTAGCCCTAGTCAATCACGAATCTATTTTGTCTAAAATTTGCATATTCTAGACATTTCATATAAGAGGAATCTCACAGTATGTAGTCTTGTGATAGCTTTCCTTCACTTAACTATGTTTTTAAGGTTCACTTGTTATAGCATATATTAGTATTTCATTCCTTTTTACTGCCAAACGTGCCACTATATGGTATGACTCATTTTGTTCAGCTATCAGTGATAGACATATGGGATCCTCCTTTTTGGCTACAATGAATAATGCTGCTATAAATATACATATACATACACAAAGAAAAGACAGAGAGGCATTACTCTGATGCCTCAAATACCTAAAAACAATTTCAAAGAAAATTTCTGATCCTATTTCATATATTACCTGATTGCCAGCTACCTTTTCCCGAAATTAAGTTCCAGAAGTATGCAGCCATGCAGCCAACAGGTAAAACTCACTTCTCTGAATTTCAGAACCGCTGGTACAGTTGTTCTCCCTTGAATAGGTCACACTAATAATTGGGTCCCAATCATCCTTGCTCTGCCTTATAACAGGGCTGATGTCTTGCCAGGAATAGCAAACCTAGATGGCCTACTTTCCCTTATTCACTTGCCCTCAGCACTCAGCTTCTAAAGCAGGGTGTCACTCAGATAGAAGCATGCCACTATCTCTACCCCCATCCCCAGAGCCCTAGTTCAAAGATTTTTACATGGGTCAAGGAATAGTGTAGGGGGCATGAGACAGATAACTCCTAACTAACCTTTTACCAAAGGAAAATTACTTGCAACACAACATGGGGAAGATTAAGCCTATGAATAGTCTCAAAAAGAACGAAGGATGGAGTGAAGTGGAGCATCTGCCTATCGATAGAATGGATACACAGATTCACTGGAAACAGACTAAACTGCAAGCTGTCTAGTTTGCCCTGGGAAAGAGATATTGTGGAGGACCCTTTCTAGACTCAAACAAAAAACAAACTCAAACTATCCCTTCTAAGGAGATTGAATTTACCTAGATTAGTCTGTAGATCATTTTATGCCCCAGAACATTTTTTAAAACATCAGCATAATCAGCTTGCAATCAGTGGCCATTAAAAGCTAAATGTGGTTAAGCAAAAAGGATATCAAAGAAATCCCTGTCATACTGCCATCCCCAGGAACTGTAGCCATACCTAAAGTGCATCACCAGAGGAACAATATCAGAAAGTTAACAGTGCAAAAAAGAAAAGTATGAGGAAAAGGACCTCACTAAAATCATACAGTCAGTCCCTCAGCAAATAAAAACCAATTCTGGGGTGGGAGGACAATATACAGAGTTGTTTCAATATATTACATAAAACATTCAGTTTATAAAAACAAAAAAAAATTTGATGCTTACAACAAAAGAAGAAAGTATAAGCCATATACTAGAAGAAAAAAAGAAACTGGAAACTGCCTGTGAAGTAACTAGATATCATATTTGAAAAAGAATTCAAAATAGTCAGTATAAATGTGTTCAAAAGACTAAGATAAACCATGATTCATGATTCAAAAAAGTAAAAAAAAAAAAAAAAAGATATGCTGATGTTACACCAATACGAATTTTCAACAGAGAAAAATCATTCAAAAAAACAAAATGGAAATTCTGGAGTTACTAAGTATAATAACTGAAATGAAAAATTCACTGACAGGGTGCTCAACAACAGATGTGATCTGGCATAACAAAGAACGAACTTGAAAATACATTGATAGAAATTATGCAATACAAAGAACAACAAATATAAATGAATGGAGCCTCAGAGAAATATGAATAACCATTAACCACACTACTACATGTACAATGGAAGTACTAGAAAGAGACCAGAGACAGATTATTTTTAAAAAAAAACTTCCTAACACTATCATATACGTTAAGGGAATGGAACAAATTCCAAGTAGGATGAACATGAAAATATTCATAAACAGACACATAATAGTAAAAATGCTCAAAGACAAGGCAAAAAGTCTTCAAATAACTTTAAAAGGCACACTAAAAATACCACTAAGGCATTTAAAGTGCCAGATTAAAAAATACTCACTAATGCAAAGGAAAGCAATAATGGAAGAACAGAGAAACAGAAAGACATAAGACCTACTGGGGGGGAATATGGTAGACATCAGTATAACTACAGCAATAACATTAAATGTTAATATACTAAGTATCCAAAAGAAAAAGAGATGGTACAACTAGATTTAAAGAAAAATCAAACTGTCTGTTGCTAGAGGACACACACTTTAAATTCAGAGATACAATTAGATTGAAATATGGGAAAAGATATCATAAAAATAGCAACAACAAGAAAGGTGGAGAGGGTCTAGGGTTGTAGCTCAGTGGGAGAGCACTTGCCTAGCATTATGTAAGGCACTGGGTTTGACCCTTGGCACTACATAAAAATAAATCAAATAAAGGTATCCAACTACAACTAAAAATAATTAAAAAGAAAGAAAAGGTGGAGAGGCTAAATACTAATAATGATAAAACAGACTTTAAACAAAAATGTTATTAAAGAAGGATACTGTACAATAATAAACTGCAGAAAGACATACAATTATCACAGGTATGTACCTAAGAACAGGACATAATAATACAGGAAGAGCTAGGTGAAACAGGTAATTTGGAAACTTAGTAGTAGTTGGGAGACATCAATACCCTACCTTCAATAATAGTCTTAACAACTAAGCATAAGAGCAACAAAGAAAGAAAAGATTAATAACACTATAAATCTACAAAACTAGAACCTTTAACTCAACAACAGCAAAACATATATTCATTTAAGGTTCATAAAGAACATTCTCCAGAACAGACCACATACTAGCTAGGCCATAAAACAAATCAAACAAATTTTCAAAACTTAAAATAGTACAAAGTATGTTATGTGACCATAGTAGAATGAAATAAGAACCCAATAAGAAAGAAATCTGGGAAGCTTACAAATATGTCGAAACTAAATACATTCCTAAATAATCAATAGGTAAAAGAACAAATAAATAGGGAAATTAGAAAATAGTTTGATAAGAATGTAAATAAGATACAACATACCAAAACTCATCAAACACAGCTAAAGCAACACCTAAAATAGGAAATATATTATTATAAATAAAGTCTCTTTTTTAAAATACTGAAGATATCAAATCAATAACCTGACCTCCCACCTAGAAAATGAAAAGCAAACTAAACCTAAATAAAGCAAGCAAAAGAAACTAAAACTAGAAGTGATACTAATGAGATCAACAAAATTAACAAACTGTTAGCTGAACAAAAATGAACCAATTACTAGAATCAGGCATGAAATGGGGGACATTACTACCAAATCTACAAAAATAAGAAAGATTATAAAGGAATGCTATGAACCGTAAACACGATGGCAATAAATTACACAATGGAGGTAAAACAGACAAATTCCTAGAAGGGAAACAAACTACTGAAACTGACTCAAGAAAAAGTAGATAATCTAATTCAAATTAGTAATGAATAATCTAAAAATACTCATAAAGAACGCCAAGGCACAGATGGTTTTACTGCTTAATCCTGTCAAGTACTTAAGGAATTAATACCAATTCTTCACAAATTCTTTCAAAAAGTGGAAGAGGTAAGAACACTTCCCAGCTCATTGTATGAGGCCAGTAT